ATGCACGCAAAGAGCTTCTAACAACATTTCTGGGGCTGACTGAAGAATTTTATGTTCAGTGTTTACTAGCTGATAAGTCCTCATTGCAAAGTTTATTCTCATGGCTTGTAAAACTTGTGTATTGCTGTTGGCAAAATAGTGCAAACGTGATTGCAAAGATTTTTATTTTGTATAACTTATTTGTATGTTCCATTTTGTAGATTTTATTTAGTTATGTTCTGATTAATTTGAATCACTGGCCTGTAATAAAGAATTTGAGGCATCCTCATATTAAGAGTACTTGATCAATTTGATGTTAATCAGGCTAAAAATTTAAATTAAAACAGGTCTAGTTTTTAATCCTTGCCCCCCCCTTTTTTTGCTTTGGCTTCACTCAGTCTTTTGAATGCTACTTCTCAGCCCCTCCCTCAAAGTAATATGCTCCTGTTCTAGCATGCGAATTATTGGATAATCTATGAGCTATCGGATCAGCTTGCTATCTATAGCAATCAAAAGAGACCTCTAATTGCTGGCGCAGAGGAAGAACATGGAAAGCTTTTATAAGCAGTTTCCGGAGCATCGAAAGATGCTTTTCCTAAGCTTCCAACAGCACCTACCCTCCTTTTTCTCTCTTGAGTCAAGGATGCCCTGCTAAATTATTTTTGTTCAATGTAATAGCAAACTGGCAAGTAAACAAGGAAAGCTGGAGACAAATGGGCAGTGCAATTAGCTGTAACAAATGCCTTGGAACCAAGTTTGGATTATAATTGCAATTGCAATTGTTTGGAATCCTTGCTTATAAGCCTCAGGGAGCCTTAATCAAACATTATAACAAGGCAAATGATTAACACAAATGACTGTGTGCTCTGAATTAATTTCCAAAACAGAAGCAGGGAGTGGAGTGAATAATAGATTCCATGTATATGACATCCGTGACATGTAAAGCACAGATTCTGGGTTTATCTTTTAAAATGTTGAATATCCATTTTCCAGATATATCACATCAATGTGTGAACAAAAAAGGATTAAGGTATTTTAAAATAAACACAAATATGTAATTCCATGTTGCTCTTCAGATTGTGAAATAAAATACAAAGATGTGCATAAAAACAACGGATAAAATGTTCTTTCTAGAATAGCCATGGATATGAACAGCTGTTTATTTTTCCTCCATCCTTTTAAATTGATGAAAAATCAACATTCCCGTAGCATCTCACTTATTTTTAGGAAGAACAAGAAGGCTTTTACTCTCAGCCTGGAGGTAAAGCTTTGAATATAGACTTACGAGAATACTGTTACATGGAAGACCAATCCTTAACGCTTGCAGGTATCAATTACACCCTACTGGATGAGTAGCCCAGATACAGGATCGCCCTGAAATCTGTGAACCTGGTCTTGTCGTCTTGTGGTGTTTTGATCACTAGCCAAGCTTACTGAAGGCTGTTTCCTGCCCACCACGCTCAGCAAGAGCATTTCACAACAAGACAAATAACAGTCCAAGGGCTTTTAGCTAGTGAGAACATCTCTACTCATCAGGATGCTACTCAACTGCTTTTATCAGAGACATAATTTATTTTTCAGACTCATAAAAAGAAATACTTCTGAAGAACAAAAGAATTTTAGGAATGAAGCCAGTTCTGCAAAGAGAAAGCAACCTTGTGGGGGACAAATTACCCCAGGGAAAACAATTTCCTACTACATACAAAGACTATAGGATCTTCACTTATGGTGATTGACAGTAACCTTGGCCCTGCTTTGCTCCCCAGTAAACATTTTTGTGCATGCATCCTGCTAAAACACTTTAAAACATCTATTGTTCAAACTGGAAAAAATAAGGTGCAAAACGTAATTTTGAAAGGGGCTAAATATACTCCTTTGAAAAACAGAAATGATCCCGTTTTCAACTAACTCCCAGCTCCTCTGCTATTCTTACTAGATTGTTCAATTGCCTTTAATCCAAAAATTCTCTAGTGATCTGGTAAATATATTCTCACTGATAGCTTATGATTCTGAAATACAATAACAACAACAACAAAAAAAACCAGAACAGTTACTGTATGCAGTTCAGGAAGAAATAATATCAAAAAGACCAATTTGACTATGATCAGTTAAATAAAGCTTTAATCTGGAGTGGAAAACAATATGAAATTAGCCCCAAATGCACTTCGGTGGAGAAGGATTTCCTCCATAGAGAATGCTCTCTCTTCTTAATACATAATACTTCTTCTGAATGACATAGCAAATACTGAATTAGTCAGCCGTATTTTGGGCTAAGTCAGGGGTAGACAACCTTGGCTCTTTTATGACTCATGGACTTCAACTCCCAGCTATGCTGGCTCAGGAATTCTGGGAGTTGAAGTCCATGAGTCATAAAAGAGCCAAGGTTGCCTACCTCTGGCCTAAGTGGTATTTACAACCCAAGCCCAAACGGTTAATATATGGTTCAGTGTGGTATACAAATCCCAAAAATATTTACCATTCAGCTACAACTTTACTACAACTATTTACATCTTTGTTAGAGCCCACCTTTTCCCCAGAAACTTGAGATGGCTTACTTGTAGAACACCCTCCTCAATTTTCCCCCAGATTAACAACTCTGTGGGGTGGGTGGGGCAGAGAGAAGAGGCCTGGTCCAAAATCAATCAACGACTTCCCATGGCTAAAGGAAGAGTAGAACCTGGGTCTCTTTGCTCCTAGCTCCAACACCTTACTTAGTACATTACCTTTGAGTAACCACCTCAGGCAAGGACAACTTTCATGTCCAAGAAAAACTGAGGAGAGCATCCCCAGGAAATTTTGTGGCTTGAGCAAACTTGTATGGGGGAGTTATTTGTAATATTTGTATTTCCTTCCATCTCTCCCCCCCCACCCCGCCCCCCCGGTCTCACTGAATTCAATGTGGTTAGAACTGAGCTGTAAAAAGTACCGATTTACGCAATTGGCCAGGGACTTGGCTTTGCCTTGTCATAACACTTTTCATCAGTGTTCTCTGCTGCACTGGTTTTTCTCATCTTGAAGTTTGCATTGTAATTTCTTTTTTGAAAAAAATGTAATAGTTTTGTTCCATCAGTTTATACTGATGAGACTAAAGAATGTTTTTAGGGTTAGGGTTAGGGTTATAGGTGGCATTTGGATCCCAAAAAACTGTCTTATATTTATCCCAATTTACAGCCCAAATGCTGGAGATGTGGTAGCTTGGATGCAACCTATTTTCATATTTGGTGGACTTGTAGAAATATAAAAGCTTTTTGGATTAAGATTTGGTGGAACATTCAAAAGATTTTTAAAAGAAAGATAAAGTTCACGCCACAACTATTTTTATTGGGTGTTATTGTTGATTGTGATGCTAAAGAAACTATTTTGATGTTGAATTTTATAACAGCTGCAAGGTTATTAGTAGGGCAATATTGGAAGAAAGATTCTTTGCCTACTATAGAAGATTGGACGCTTAAAGTGTCAAATTTAGCAGAAATGGCAAAAATTTATGCTTATTTGAAGGATCACTCACAAGAAAGATATATTTCGGTCTGGAGAAGATGGATAGATTATATTCAGAATAAATATGGGATTAAAAAGTTTCATTTAGCTTATGAGTAAACTTTAGAGTATTATTAATAGTTTCTTTTTTAATTTTTATTAGTTTTAGTATGGTTTAACAATATTGATTTGTTTATATTATTATGTTTATTTTTAATTTGCTTATATTTATGTTATAAGGGAGTTAAAGTGCATTATGGACTTGGTTACTTGTATAGTTGGGTAATGTTTTTTTTAGAGTTTGATTGTTTATTTGTAACCCTGTATTCAGCTCTGGGAAGTGGGGTACAGGGGGTAGGGGGGGGGTCTTGGGATGTATATTGTATAAAACCTTTCAACAAAAAAAAGAATGTTTTTAGTAAAATCTGTTCTTTATCATGGCTGTGTATCTTAGCTTCCCTAGTGTACATTAATATGAAACTTGTCTATGATAAAATCTACCTCAAAATGATTACCTTCAGTGCAAATAACACCTATATACACTGAATGCACCTGCCATATTCATATGAACCCAGCCTATTTATGCATTTATTAGTCAGTGTACAATATGAACACAGAAATAATCCAAAACAAAATAGGCGTTGTTAATTAAAACACCAATTTAAGAAAAGTAAATATTGACTTTTTAAAAAATATGTTATTTTATAGAAAGTTATTTCTTTCAATAAAAGTAGAATGTGTTCCCTTGTTCTTTCTGCTTGTGTTTACTTTGAAAGAGTAAAGAGTTGGGTGGGTCCTACTCCCCCAAAAATGTGCATGGCATCATAGCATGTACAATAAAACCCTATGCTTATTTGCTAAATGTTAAGCTGTACTCTTCCTCCTCCTCTTTCTCTTTCACATACTCACTCGGAATCAGTACTTGGGGCAAATCAGTTGAATGGTCAAATATTGCATCCAAACTTTGCAGGAAGCAGTAGACAAAAATTACTCTTCTTTCTTCTGTGACAACTAAGAAATTGGCTGTTGCTGGTACAACATTCTGTTCAATGGAAGGGGGAACATACCATCAAGAAGAGGATTGTCTTCACACTCATGTCTTGTAGTTTACAGTATAATTGAGGTTTCATTAATTTCCATGCTTGTGGCAGTTGCCTTGGCGAGCTCCTTAACAAAATTCCCCATATTTTTTCTAGTAATCAGAAAGGAGTCATTGCTTATAACAGAAACATAGTTGTGTTTAGAGGAGAGGATTTGGGCAGGTGCATCTTATTTGAGCAGGTTTGAAAGAAAAAAAAATGCATCTCTTGCAACTTTGCAAAGAAGCCCTGTTCCTTTCACAACTCATTCGTCTTAACTACACACATTTTGTGAATTAAGAAAATATTTGCACCTCCTTGTTTAACTTGTGGGAGTCTTTCCATTTGGTCAGTCTGCCTCCAAGAACAGTCATTCTAATAGGAGGAAGTAGTCCTCTCTGTCTTTCTGGCAAAGGAATTAAGTTAAGAAATTCTGCAGGGAGCTTCTGCACTGCCTGCCCTCCCTCCCTGCTCCCTCCCTAGCCAGGTGATATCAGAGGAATAACACTGTGGGTTTAGCCAATCTACACTGTATCTGGGGCCAGGACAGGTAGAGAGAGCCTGAATGTTCAGGATAACACCATGAGATTAGGGAGGAAGTTTCCTACATCATCCCAACTCTTTCTCCTAGGCTTTTCGTTCCTCATTCTGTCATTTGCTGCTTACATTGGCTTTACTGAAAAATATCCATACAGGTAAGAAGAAATTCATCTTCTCAAATGAAAATTATATACTGCTTGCTCTAACATGATAAAGCTAGTCTTTGGGTATTGAGATGCACTATATAGCTTTGTTCCCTATGCCATCCGTCTGGTAAACTCACAAGCTTCATTTTTCTCTCCATGCACATGTACGGTATACATAACCTGAACTAGACTGTTGTTTCTCTGTGTCATACAATATATGTGGGTATATGCATAATTCTGTATTTATTTTTGTCATCTTTATGTAGTGTATATCGGAGGTGGTGACCCTCTGAGAGCTGTATGCAAGGAAATTTCATTTTAATGTATGCCAATTAGTGTACATTCAAAGTGAGAATAAAGTTATTATTCTATTCTACTATACGTTGTACTTATCTATCTATATCTTGTCTCTTGTGGATATGGATATGTTCTCCAGGCAAGTACTTGTGACATGTCAAGTTACAAAATATCTTCCATGGGGTCAGTTTTTCTTGCAAGTTGTGTCTTTTGCATTATCAGGATAGATCCCAGCAATGTGAGTAATTTTTGCTCCCAAGGTTAAAAGCCAAACTTTGCAATCCTTTCCCCAAATTTGTGCATAATTATAGATAAAACATCAATAAAAATAATGCTGCTCCCAGAGATATTCTTCTACCTCACCCTTCTCTCTTTCAGCCCATGAAAGTCCCTGAAAATCATGTTGCTCTGCCCATGGGCTGAGAATGGCCATCTTCCAATCATTAATATCACTGTGGTCATTTTTAAGGGGGTTTGGAGAGATTCAGTTCTTGCTTTGCTCTTTTGTGTCTTGTCTGAAATCGCTTTTATTGGGGCAGAAATAAAGACACAATTTTAGAGAAAGCAGAAATCTAAAAACTTATTAAAATGTGTATGTGTGCGTGGGTATACGCAAAGCTACCAATTTGTATATGAATGATTAGGTCTAGAAATACGTTGGTCTCCATTCTGTGTGTATTTCTACATGTTTAATTGAAAAGCTCTCACCTGCTTATAACATATTCCTTAAACAATAGTGACATGGTAGAATTTATGCAGCTTACCAGATTGCTGAGCTAAATGACGGATGTAAGTTTTGTTTCAAAAGAAGAATGGATAATAGAGTGCAGCAAGTATACTTTACCAAAATATGTTCTGCAGCTATGAAGTGGAAGGTCATTTAATTTTCCTAGACTATCGGTAGTGATCCCTTGCTACATCCCAATATTTTTTTGAAACAAAACAAAAGATGCAGTTTCCTAACTATAAAAGTATAGCACTTTCAGGTGTGAATATTTTCAGTCAGAAACAAATAATGAGCATGAGTTTAACCCTTCTAAGTAATGAGCTGGAATTGGTTGTTAGATTAAAAAGCAGGAAAATCTTTTAATGTGCTCTTTAGGTCAAGAATTATGAACCTGGGAGCAATTCTAGTCCTATTTTAGCCATAAAATCCATCTGGCTCTAGTCACTCTCTCTTTAGTAACCCCTCTCACAGGGTTGTTGTTGTGGAGAAAATAGGAGAAGGGTTGGATATGTTCACCACCTGGAGTTATTTGTAGACATAGGCAAGAACAGAACAGAACAGAACAGTCTTTATTGGCAAGTGTGATTGGACACACAAGAACTTTATTTCCGGTGCATCAGCTTTCAGTGTACATACAAGCAACAAAGTCATAAGTCATAAGATACAATCATAGATCATAAGATACAATAACAAAGTGATAGTTATAAGAGATCAATAGTAGTATGGAATAGAAAACATGAGAAGGATAATAGCAATACAGCCCTACTACATGGTTAGATATCCTTAGGTATAAAACAATGCTGTGGGAATTAGGTGTTTAGCAGAGTGATGGCATGGGGGAAGAAACTGTCCCTGTGTCTAGTTGTTCTGGCATGCAATGCCTTATAGTGATGTCCTGAGGGGAGAAGTTGAAACAGTTTGTATTCAGAATGTGAGGGGTAAGGACGGAATATAGTTATAGAGATAGCAATGAAGTTAGAGATATTACAAGCCTCAGTGATGCCAGAAAATACAGGATTTAAAGTGTATAGAAAAACTTTAAGAAGAAGAACAGACTGAAGGGAAGATAAACATTTCAGGACAACTACGTCAAGATGGAAAAATAGAGAGATGATTTGTCAGTCCTTTCAAAAAAAAAATGGCGACTGGATGACTTTTTTTACTTCAAACAATATACATAACGACAAAGGGAGATTTATTTGATGACTTAAAAGCATAGACATGGAAGGTGAGTTGGCAAAGAAAAAAAGCTAGAATAAGACTGAAGAAAATTGAGGTTTTGACTTATCAGTGAGAATTAAAATAGAACATACAAATAGATAAGATGTGTATTTTGAATACTAGATTTTGTTATGAGCTGAGATAAAGAAAACTTTGGTCATTTAAAACTTGGAAGTATAAATATTAATAGTTAAATTTGAATATTGATTTGCTTATAAAGTTTGAATGTAAAAGTAATTAAGATATATATAAGCTAAAAATCTATTGATGAAGGTAATAAATATATTATAATAAAAACTACTAGCTTAAATATGAGATAATAGATATCAAGAGAAAAAGAGAGGAAGTATTAAATGTCAAAAGAGAAATTTTGGTTACTAAATTTAAGACATTTGGAAATTAATAGAAAATAAGAATGTTATACTGTATTATTAATTAGTTGATGTAAGATGGTGAGAAATAGAATATATTCAAATAGATAAGACGTGTCTCCTGAACATTAGATTTTGTGATGAATTGTGATAAAGGGAACTGTGGTTATTTAAAACTTGAAAATTATAAATATTAAATGTTAAATTTAAATATTAATAAGAAACTAAAACTTGGGAAAAACTAATTAGGACATTGATTGTCTATAAAGATTGTATATCATAAACATTATTGATAAATGTAAGAAAGTTATTTTTATCGATGTAATAAGAATTTTATTAGTTTAAATATGAGACAGTAAATACTATGGGGAAAAGAGAGGAAATATTTAAGTAGTAGTAGGAGACTTGTACTAAAGATACTTGTATGTTATTGAATCATTGAGTAACTCAACTGCCACATTGCTTTTTAAATATTTAAATGTAAAATTAGAAAATCAATAAAATTTTCTTTAAAAAAAAAACTTTTCCTCCTTCTTGCTGTAGAAGGTTCTTCTTCCATTGTTCTAAGAAGGCAACAGCCAATTTTTTAGCCTCCACAAGAGGAAGAAGTGTTATTCATGCCTGTTTTTCTTGCAAAGTTTGATTATTTGTTTAGTTTTTCTTGCAAATATTTGCTATTTCACCTGATTGGCACAGAGAGTAATTATATGTTCCTTGAATCTGTTTGTATTACTTATACGATGCTTCAATATTTACTAAATGTTCCAGATATGTTTACCAATTGAAAGTATGCCTATGTGTGTCTAGAAGCTTTTATACCTATATCCTGTATCCTGTTTTTAAAAGTTGGCATCTTTAAGTTTGAAGTTGGTTAACAGTATCTCTAAGATCCTCCCTTCGTTTAGAACAGGGATCTTCAAACTTGGCCCTTTTATGATTTGTGAACTTCAACTTCCAGAATTCCTCAGCCAGGCCCGCTGGCTGAGGAATTCTAAGAGTTGATCTCCACAAGTCATAAAAGGGCCAAGTTTGAAGACCTCTGGTTTAGAAAGACTTTGTTTGTGATCTAAAGGGGTGTGTGCTTAAGGCTTAAGAAGGGTAGCAAGATCTTCAGAGAGTGAAGAAATAATACTTCTTTATAAATTGATAATGTCTTGTATCTACAACTTGATTATACTATACAGCATGCTGGCTGGGGAATTCTGGAAGCTGAAGTCCACACGTCTTAAGTTTAGCAAGGTTGGTGTGAGAAGTCAGACTTGGGGCTATTAGGAAAAACTGGGCATGCTTTTCTGCCTCTTTAAGATCCTTTGAGGAAATATAATATTCTGCCCTTTTAATATTTCCTTCTCTGGGGGGGGGCTGACTTCTCATATTGGGAAACAATTGTTCTAGAGTTTAGCTTCTACAACAGGGGTGTCAGACTCATGACATCATGTGATGTGTCGCAACGTATCATGACTTTTCCCCCATTGCTGGCAATGGGGTGGATGCAGTTTTAGTGTGATGCATCCAGCCCATGGGCCGGCAGTTTGACACCCCTGCTCTACAAAATTTGCCACAAAACACAAAGGAAATGCTCTTGGGTCAAAATAGTATTTCCACCACTACTGTACTATTTTGGCATGAAAATAGCAATCTGTCTAGTATTGAACTTGGGGTTGGAATGGACCATGTCCAAGAAAAATTGAAAACAAAAGAAAGCAATAACATTGCTTTCAGAATAATCTTCTTTTAGAAAACAGTTCAGCATTTCTGAACTGAGAAGCAAATTGCCAAGAAAAGTAAAATTGAAGCTGTGGTCTGAGCAGTCAGCCTCCATCTTTTTCTTGCAGATGTAGGAGGAAAATTTCACATAAAAACTCCTCTGTTTTGCATATTTTGGTTTCTATAAGCCTATTTGCAGAATAGAATAGAATAGAATAGAATAGAATAGAATAGAATAGAATAGAATAGAATAGAATAGAATAGGAAGGGACTTTGGAGGTCTTCTAGTCCAGCTCCCTGCTCAAGCAGGAGAACCTATACTATCTCAGACAAGTGACTGTCCAGTCTCGTCTTAAAAATCTCCAGTGATGGAGGCTTCCGGTTTGCCGAGGCAGCCAATATGGACGTCTAGAAGGCAAGCTCTGTCTTCTGTGTTCAGTTTCACTTCACTGGGGGACCCTGGAAAGGGTTGAAAGTCGCCCTGTAGGGGTGACCAGCAAGGAGGGGATCCTCGTTGGATCGCGGGAGGGCAGTAGCTCTTCTGCTTGATCTAGGGCAGTCCTCCAAACCAGCGGATGAAAGACCAGCCATACCAATATGGCTCGTCACTAGGCTGCAGACAGCCAAAGTCACACTTACCATCAGGAAATTTTAAGGCAGCACGGATGAGATTGGGTGACATCTAC